AAACAAAAACCTAACCGAACTAATCTCTAGCCAAGTACAGTGGGACTGATTTCTTTGAAATATTAGATGTAATAAAGACAGACATTTTTCCAGTTCAATGAGAGTGACCGAAAAGTTGTAAATTTTGGAAATTTCTGTGGACAACACCTGGTCCTAAAACAAATTAGTTAGAAAACAAACGATGGACAATCTATTAAGTTTAACATATTTAGACTTTTACAGCTGTGCTGAGAAACGTTTAAAATTTACAAGAACTCTGTTGCATCTTTTGAGGTATATTAGTGATGCGACAAAAGAGGCATTTGAAATTGACCGGTATCAGCACCCTCGGGATTTGGCAGTTCGTGTGCATGTACACACCGCACACCTAGCAGGACCGTCTCTGATTCCACTCATAGGACGCTATTTGACTAAGTGGTTAAGATTTAAAGAGTAAACAATATTTTATGTTATTTTTATGTATGTTTCATTACAAAGCTATATTTAATTATTATTTTCTTTAAAAGTGTATTCATACAATTGAAGAATGTTTTGTACCAGGTATGTATATCCATCACACATTTTATTTTATCAAGTAGGTTTTTATAATTTTATTTTTAATTTTAGCCCTTATATCGTGGCTAGTAATTCAGAATGTTATTGCAATATTGAAAATTTATTTTAAAAAAGTTTTGGCTCTAGATCATATAATGAAAAAGAAAACATTAAAAGAGAAAGGCCAATGCCTAAGTAAATATAAACACTTCAATAAAAAAATTTGTTTGACATTTTCACGATAAAATGGCTCTGTAATTGCATAAAAATGCAAAAATTGTTTTGTTGGCTTGCCTACTATTTTCAAATGAAATTAGTGTGTGTGGAATAAGAATGGCTTTGACAATTTAGCTGGTAAAAGACACGAAAAATCGTCGATTCTTTCGTATTTGAAGCAATTTGGAAATCGAAGCGGAATAGAATTTAACATTAGTAAATAATATAAAATAAATATTGAAGATTATAACGAGATAGTTACAGTTAATGGATATATTATATCTAAATAAATAATTGTTATGTGTTTTTATCAAAGCAAGAATTGGCATTTAGAGGGCATATGGAATATATTGGATCTAATAACAGAGGTAATTATATTGAATTTGTTTATTTATTAAGTACGTCAGATAAATAATCTATTAAAAATACATTTAAAGAAAGAATTAACTGATTGCCTCTGGAAGTCGGCTTCTTATAGAAACACAGCTTCCCTATCATCAAATGTTACGGCACGCCACTGGACAAAGCAATATTTTATAGGCCATTTCATGACTTTCAAGTGCTTGGAGGTTCTTCTATCAGCAATTCAGAGTTGTTTCTTCAAAACCAAATTTCTTCTGATAATGAATGTTTAAATTTTGAGTCAATTTGCAGTGAGGTAAAACTATTACATTGACAGATTCTGATATCCCAACTGATTGCACAAGCCAAAATACAAAAACAAACCTTCAGTTAATAAATGTTCCTGAGGTTGAAAAGTACAAGACATTTTATTGTTTCTTCTGATTTGTGAATATTTTTTATAAATCCTTCAGTTAAAACTTAAGATTCAAGAAAGGGGTGATGATAGCAATGGCTTCACAGCTAAAATTATACTTGCTAGAGCCATCAATAAAATCATACAGGCTCTGCACAAGTTTGTTCATACAGTCTAGAAAGTAGTGTTTGCATCAATAAGGTACATCCCAAATATCAACATATATTGTTTTTGAAATTTAAAAAATTTTTCAGTTATCTAGATAAAAAAATTTTTTTAAACATTGAGTTATATACATATACTAATTAATTTTTGTACTTCAGAATGTATCAAACGCATACTACTATCGTCTGTCCAGTACTGTAATTTTATACATTTCTTGTGAAAGAAACATTTCTTATTTAACGGCCATAAAAATTATTTATATTAAGGATGTCTCCAAAGGTCAACGAAGTTTTCGCAGAAAAATAATATCAGAAATCGCGGCCGCGGTTTTAATGCGCTGTTCCGCGACGAAACCAAGCTTTAGCAACGGGCGTAGTCGAACGGTANATATTGTTTTTGAAATTTAAAAAATTTTTCAGTTATCTAGATAAAAAAATTTTTTTAAACATGTTTATTACTGTATATGAATTATATAGAATCATACAACTTTGTAGTATTTATGTTTTTTTAAATTGGCAGGAAGAAATTTTACTGTCTGTTAAAAAAATTTTCTAGGAAAACATGTGCAAATCGGTTTTCATATTTATTTCACTCCTATGTAAGCATATGAAAATATTTACACATTTGAAGCATTCAAAAGTTGTTTATCACAATGGATAAAAAATGTGATTGAAGTGACTGAAGAAGGCAAAATAGATGCCTGGGCAATTGATGGCATTTCCCAAAAATAGCTCAATGATTAAATAGAGCCTAGTCAATAATAATCAGATTTTTTCAGAGGAAAGGAAACAACAGGAAAATCAAATTCTGAACAAAAACAAATTGACTGTTTGACAACAAAGGCATATATTTCAATTGGCAATGAAAAACCAAAGTTCTGAAGGCAAATAACAGAGCATTTGAAAAGTTGTTTCAGAACAACTGTTCATTGCACTTTGTTGCAATCTGGAAAAGCTAAATTCAAAAGAACAAAGAGAAGACCTTACCTTAAATCATACCACAGGCTAAGCTTATCTGGGACAAAGAATGAGCCAAAGTTATTTTTTAGTGATGATAAGTTTACATGGGCCAAATGGTTTTAAATTTTACTGGCGTGTTCTACAGAAGGAAGACACTACTACAGCAAAAGGATACAACGTTCGGTAATGGTTTTGGATAATTTGGGATTAAAGGATAAAATCCCTTTAGCAAATACAGTCAGCAGAATAATCCTGCTATTTGCCAAAATTCATTACTGCCATGTGCCACCAAAATTTGTACTAGGAATTACATTTTTCAATAAAATATTTTCTCAATCATTCAGAGTTGTTTGCCAGAAAAACATTCAACTTTTGGATTGATCTGCATTAAGTCACAACATAAATCTGATGGAAAATTTGTGAGTGATCATTGAGAGACAGGTATATTAGGATGGTTGGCAATTTTCTAATGTTAGACTTGAAGGCTGCAATTTGTGATGCTTGGAAGAATTCTTGAAAATTTATATTTCATGTTTATAGATTACTAATTCTCAATTTTTTTTTATATGCAATTCAAGTTGATAATTTTTTGGGATGTATAGTTTCTTTCCACCAATTAAAAACAAATATATATACACTGTATATGAAAGCCTACAAGTATATAGCATTTAATTTATGTAATAAACATGATTTAATATAACTGGTTTTGAAATTTTAAAAAAATGTTAATTATTTAAGATACATCTTAGAAAAGATGTATATGATACAAAGTTTGCACAAAATTCAATTATGCAGTTAAGAACAGATTTTTACAATCAATTGTAAGAAGCAAACAAAACAAACTTGAACTTTTAAAAAAATTACTCTTATGATTCATCTCTTACTGTAATGTTATATTCTACCCAATTCTTCAGACTGGAGTGTAAGTATAGTTCAAATACGATGCTTTTAAAATAATGTCATATTATTTTTGCATGATATATGTATTATATGTTCATAAATGTAGTGCATGCTATATTTAAAAGTAATTTTCACAAAATCTCTAAAGGACAATTTTTGTCCTGTAAATGTCCATTATATAGAAGTTTCACTGTATATACACATCCATCTCTGAATTTGCATTTCTCTGTTCATTATTAGGCTCGGGCAGATCTAGGTTTTCTGGGACCCCATTTACAATAAAACAAATAATACTATAAATTATCATTATTATTATATTATTAATATTAACTATTTTTTACTATATGATAAGTACTCATTGTTAATGTAAAAGTATTAAAAATTTATAATTCAATTTTTGTGGGCCCAGGGCTTAAGCCATATTAGTCCCTATATAGATCTGTCCCTGATTAGGTGTCATAAGTGATTTAGTTAAATTAAGATTGATGGAACTTAACAAACTAGTATAAAAAAATATGCCATTTTATAAAACAAAAAATAAAATTGTTTTAATAAATTTGGCTTCTAAGAAAAACATTTCTGATCTACTTTAGGTCATTTTCAGTTTGTTCAGAATGTTTGAAATGGAATACCAGTTAGGAAGCCAACAAAATCAAAGACAATAGTAAAAGTTAAGGATCCATTTACACACAACAGTGACATGACCACGCAGTGTCCACTCACTTGTCAGTGCAGTGATTTTTTGCCGGTTGGAAATCATTGACCTAGTTTTAAACCATTCTATCCAGACTCATCCATCACAGTGCTGTGCAGTGGCAGTGGCATGACCATACCGTGAAAGTACATTTGACCAGAACAATATTTTCACTGATCGAAAATTTTGTTTTCCAATGGATGACAAACATTTAATTGAAATGGTACCCTGTTCTATTTGATTTATCTCATTCAAAATACATGAACATTGGGTACAAAATGGATATTTCTCTGTTTTGTTTAATAAAATATGAAATGCATGTTAGGACATTCGAAAACATTCAAAAACTATAGATTTGTCATCTATTAATTTTTTATAAATATAAAACTCCCATTCTGTTGATCTTTTTTGTCCATGCTTGATGTACCCACTTGCGCTTTCTTGATTACATTTCTTTTTCTTCTTCATCCAAACATATAGCTATCATAGCATCCTCAGAAAAGTTTATGAGCATGGTCACGTCACTGTTGTGTGTAAATAGACTTTAATGATGATTTAGGTTCAAAATATTAAACATCTCAATCTAGTTTTCCATAAAAAAGCACTATTTTCTAGGCTTTTAATTTAGCTAAATTAATATAGTATTTTTTAAAATTTAAATATAAAAGAAAAAATTAATTACATGCATAGAAATTAAAAATTGATTTGTTCTGAAATTTTATTTCAATACTTAATTTTCTACATTCAAAAGATTTTGATAACAATCAACAAAAAATTATTGTTCTTTAACAAAGTATTGTAAATAGCTTATTTTCTTTTCATTATAAGGGTGGCTCCATAAATTTGGTATTAACCAAATGCTAAGCAAACGTCTGGCCAACACAAAGTAGTATGGATGGTTTACCTTGTGACAAATATTCAGTATTCACCACTTTCCACTCCTTGTTGATAAATTGTGTCAAATCAAAGGGGTTGAATATTTGTCTCTGTGCATTTGTGTATTTTCTTGTTTTTGGGTTGCAATTTTCAAAGTTACAGACCTGTAAATTTCCACTTGCATCTGTTGCCTGTCTGTCCTTCCTTAATCTCAAGAATGGAGTTAGATAGATGAAAGCCAAGACCAGAATGGCACTGATTAACTATATATGAACTTCCAGTTTGGACTAGAAGTCACATTATTTCAATTCAAAAATTTTCTACTGAACTGAATTAGATGACTAGCATGACTTTATTGTTAATGGGAAAAGTATGATGGTCTAATGAAACTAATCAAGGTGGAAAATATTCTTCACCAAATTGAAAAAAGACTTGTTAATAGTAACATTTAGATCATGTCATAACAAAGTAAAGTAGAAAATTGGAGTATTAAAAGTGGGGTAGGGTAAGCCAAACTGATTTGCTCATTTTTCATTAATAGCTATGAACTACTAATAAATACAAATGTAGCAGGAAAAATTATTGTTGAAAAACTGTCCATTTTCTAGATATCAGAGAATCATTTGTCATTCTCACAATGAACTAATGCTTGGCAAATGATGTGTGTGCATGTGTACTCACCACATGACAAACACTTAAGCAAATACTTTAGCAAAATGCAATTATTTAGCATTTGGCAAATACTGAATGTGTACAGCTGCCTTAACAATAAAATCAAGCTTGTTTTAATATATATAACTCATGAATTTAAAATATATTTATAATTAACAATTCTTACATGAAAAATTTGTTTTGAAATTTACATAAATATCTTTAACAAAATATTAATTTCATTTAAATAGTAATTACAGATAATTTATTCTCGACACATTTCCTTGATCAACTGAAGTTGTGCCTTCAATTCATGCATTTTTAAACCAATAGTTCTATTAACATTTATCCTTTGAGTTTCATGAAGTTTTCCTAGAAGATTATTATAATCATTTAAAACTGATGAAACTGTATCTTCTGCTTCTTTCATATCTTCACTAAAATATACAGTGCCTAATGACTGTCTCTGTAAAATATGAAAATATTGATTAAAAATTAATTAATTGATTGATGGTAATGTTAAAAGAAAAACTAATATTAATATTCCATATACTTATATAAATGTGCCTTAGATTACTAACAAAATTTAATGAATTATTTTAAATTGCTTGAAATTTAATGCAAACAGTATAAACTAGTTTATACTGTTTGNTTTTTTTATCTGTCTCCTATAAGATGACCCCAGATTTTGGGGGTCTATTTTTATGATTCAACTATCATCTTATCTACGCAGATATATGGTAGTTCTATTTAACATTACAACTTGGATGGTTAATTTAAGAATGCAAGAAAAGAATATAATTATAGAATGCCAATCATTTCAAATTTAAATAAAATGAAATAATGTAATATGCATAAATAAAATAACATACAAAATACATAAAAAATGTATAAATATAGGTAAATTAATAAAAAATAATAACAATAATGACAAAGTGAGTACAAAGTTACAAGATTTATATATATCACCCACATAGGTGATGAAAAATAAAAGTAACAAATATGTGACCGGAGGGTCGGCACCTCTTTGATGCCATGTCAGGATGATACCACTGTCTCTCTATCGACACACAAGCTGCGACAGCAATTTGATTTTTTATTGGTCTCATGAGCGGTTGTGTGCGTAAGCATCAGATTTGGGATGGAGAAGGACTATGAGACAGTGAGGCAGAAGTAATACACTCAGAAACAAGTTATACAAACCAAATATCTATTTATTTGTTCATAGGATTTTTACACGTAAGACTAATATGATAAGACTACTGATTCAATTAGGAATTTGTACGTGCAGATAAATCAGATGTACATGGGAGAGAAAGAGAGTTCACAGTAGATTGTGAATTGATAAATATCTTGTAGAGGAGTTCTAGGAATCTGAAGCTTGCTGGCAGGTCGATAAGAGAAAAGCTCTTGACAATAGTTCTTCTTCCAGATGTTAACAGTAGGTAATATGGCACAGGTGAGAGGGATGACATATCTGTAGAAGAAATTGCTGAAGTATCAGTTAATGGAGCAAAAACAATGTATCTGACAATAGAGTAATGGAGGCACAGGAAACAATTTGCCCAGTTGAGGAACTGGCGATGATTACTGAGTCGTGGAGGAACTGGTAATGACTGACATGGCTGGCCTTTAGTTGTCATATTAAAGTGGTAAAATCAGGACAGCATGTCAAGAGGTCGTGGGAAAGATTCTCTGTCGACACTGAGAACATGTGGAAAGAGATGCTCCCAGTGTGAAAGTTGACAGATAACACTGCCGACAAAGTTATATTATTGAAAATTTATATTATTATTTAGTTTAAGTTGTTTAAATTGAAGTCCAGGTTCTCACAAATAACTGCAATATATAATCATCCTTGAAGTTGCTGTGTGTCATATGCTTGACACAGCCAGTTTTCCTGTTATACAATCCAGTTTTAATTGAACTATTGAGTGCTGTTTATAATCTTGAAATTTTGAATTCTTAAAAAATTTGATTCTATGTTTTAATATTTTTATCATTGATACTATAATTACAGCTAAGAAAAATAGCAAAGCATGCCAAACTTTTTGAATATTAATCATCAAAAATATGACCTTTTTGATGATTAATATTCACACCTCTGCCTACTCAAAGTACTTATATTCCTCATACTCGCAATTCCGTGGCTACGCGTGTTAATCCGTGTTAAAATAAGATTAACTAGTGTTGGGAACCTGACAGGAGACTCGATTGTCCTGACAGGAGAATCATCTCCTCCACCTTTTTACTAGCAATGTAAGTCCCTCCACACTCGATATTATTAATAGAAAACCTCCTTTTAGACAGCCGAGGGCTACTCTCACGATTAGCTGCCGAGTAAGTGGTACACAAGTTTTACGAACTCCATATCTCCGGCCAGCCCTTCACATTAACCCTATGCCTAGTTCAGTGTTTCTCAAACTATGGGTCGCATTAAAATTTTAATTTTTTTTTTATACACAAGATACAAAATGAAATTAACAAAATCATCTTACAATCTGAAAAGTACATTTGAGAAAAGGGTTCATTGAGTTTTTTTTGGTAAGTAAACTTGTATATCTTACAATCTGAAAAGTACATTTTAAAAAAGGGTTCATTGAGTTTTTTTTGGTAAGTAAACTTGTATATTTTTCAAAGTAAAATAGACTCCTGAATAACCTCGACAGTATGTTTTATTTGCAATTGTCAGCCTTACATATTTTAATGGTTAAATTTCAATAATAAAAACTGAAATAACTTCAATTTGTTACAAATTGACATCAACTTGAACCACTCTTAACAGAAATGTACAGTACTCAATGTTACATTTTACACTTAAGTTATCAATAATGCATAATTTTATTTTGTTATATAATATACAGCAACTGACGGCTGAGCAGCCTACCACTCTGGAGGACTCGGGATCAAATCAAGATGGGTTGAAAAGCCCCAGGAATATTTTAGGTGGTGGTCCATCCAGATATGTCGGGCTCCATCCCTCACCACCCAGTCATTCCATTGTAGGCCTAGCCAAACCTATGATGGGCTTGCTAAAAGAGACCCTATTAGAGCCCAAAGGGCAGAAACAGTTAATATATATTATATAAACAGTGACCAGTTTACCAGGGCTTTTAAAAATTTTATGTCAAACATTTAGGTCACAGAACCATTATTAACAAAAGTTGCATGAGCAAAAAGTTTGAGAAACACTAGTCTAAACTCTAGACTACAAATAACTTCTGACAGATGTTAAATTCCAATTTTCAATTCTAAATTAACTTATTCTATACAAAACCACAATGCCATGGGTTGTCCACTAGCTTATAAGAATTATCAGAAGAAAACTCAATATAATTAAAGTTCCTTCAGTTTAACTGTGGATGTTAAATATTTAATTCTTCAAAAAAAACTTATGTAGAAAACATTATAAATTCTAATTTATAACAGCTTTGAAAGCAATGGAACATTAACAGAAACAAAATTATTGACTGTGCTTACCATTATCAGATAAATGAAAAGAAATAATCGGAATGAACTGAATGAAGAGAATATATCTTTTTATAGAAAATTGAAATTTAATAGAAACTTTAATAAAATTGTTTTAATTAATTAAATTTATGATAGAAAGTCAAAAAAATAAAATAAACTTTTAAAATTTCTTGCACAGTTTAATATTAATATCAATTGCATCTTAATTACTCTTCCATAAAACTACATTTCACAAAGTTTCATGTTAATTCACTGTAAAATTTATCTAACAAGTTAAATCAGATGTATATATTGTCGGCCCAAAAAATAACACTCCTCAGCAAGCAGGAGCATCCGTATTCACCAATATATCTATCACTTTATGAACCAATGTTCATCCAAGAAGCTGTAGTTTCCAATTATCAAAAAGATGGATGCCCTTCATTTATCAGTTTAGTGTGTATATATTAGAGACTGACAGTATATTTAAAGAGAAAGTACCCAGAAGAATCCTGTTTCAATTCCCTAAAGTGCAAAAGAACAATTACAAATTCTGTCTTAGAAGTAAACTTAGGAAAAAAAATGCACCATGTATGAAGGATGAACTTTTACCATATATACTGTGTATATATAATATACATACACAGTATGTATAAATATACAATATAGTATATATATTATATATATTTATTTATTTCATTTATTTATGCATAATCATGTAGTAAACTGGCATAAAAATTAAGGGGAAGAATTTATCCCACACGAGCCTGAGAAATATAAAAAATATCTCAAGTGACATCCACTTACAGCATCTTCTAGTAGTCCGATAGCTTCACTAAATTTTTCCGATAAATTGTCTACGTTTTTCTTTACTTCTTCCTCTGATAAATTCTTCTGTAAGCATAAGTATCTCCTTGGGAGATGAATACAAAATGGTATTTTAAGATTGGTAATGGAATTAAGTCTGTCGCAAGATTTTCTCGACGGATTTTCGATGTATGTTCTACTTATTCGATAAATCGAGTTGTTTCTGAGTCTAGAAGAAGCATTTCTAAACGAAAACAAAATAGCATTCATATTTGCCATATTACTAAACGTTGCCATTTTCATAAAACTACAGCCTATGTTAATAAATGCAACTTATCATACAACAGATCTTAAATGTATATAAGATATAATAAAATTTAATGAATACAACCATTTTTAAAAAATATATAAGAAATAATAAAACGCAAATTCGTGCATATATATTATCCTCTCGTGTCCGAGCAGTGCCACAACGCTTCTTGCGTGTAGCGGCCGGATGGCCGAGCGGTCAAGGTGGTAGCCTACCGCCTTGGGGGACCCGGGTTCGAATCCGAACGGGTCGAAAAAATCTCTAGGAATTTTTCGAGGGTAGTCCGCTCAGATATGTCGGGCCCCGTCCCTCACCACCCGGCAGCCCCATTGTGGGCCCGGCCGAACCCATAATGGGCTTGCAAAAAGAGGCCTTCTTAGTGCCCACAGGGCGGAAAGAGTTAAAAAAACTTCTTGCGTGTAAAACGTACGAAAGGCGCAAAAACTCTACATTGTTAAAGTATTGTGCCGCAAAAAAAATTACCAAGTTGGGGATGCCACTATTAGAAAAAGGTTAAAAACGTCGGGTTAAGGCGTCATCCAACTACTACGTTTCTTTTTTTGCTTAATTAAGTTACGGCAACGCAACACTTGGGCGATCTGCCTAGGCGGAATGCCTTCCGGGAGGTCTTTTTAATTAAGAGTAACTTGCCCCTATTCAGGCGTTACAGACGTGGAAAAAACCGGAAAACACGTGGCCAGCCCATCAGGACGAGGCGCGAACCCACGACCGAACTCCAAGTGTTCAGGGAATGGAATCGCTTGGCTACTGGTGAGCCTCCAACTATGGAAATCCAGGGGACGAACTCGAAAATTTTTCATGGGTGGTCAGGCCCGTCTCTCAACTTCCGGTCGCCCTCACTGTGATCCTGGCCGAACTCAATGGGTATAGAAAAAAAGGCCTTAGTGTTCTTAGAATGAAGAGTTAAGTAAAAAAGATGCGAATTCGAACCCAGGTTCCCAGAGCGGTAACCTAATTCCTTTATTCGCTACAAAAAGTTACGATAGATGACACTGCGACAAATTCAAAGGGTCAAAGTCTATAAACACAAGGTCAGGACCCCAATGTTCCTTATGGAGCCGCTATATTGGTTCCTTAGTTCTAAGGTCACGGTATAGATTTCATTCTCTGTACTACATGCAGTAAACTTCATGTTTTTTCGAGTTCGAGCCTTTTATAATTTCAAATAGAGTATCTTTTCATTTAGAAGTTTCTCCGACATATAATTAAAGGCTATTAACTAAATAGGTTTCAAAATAAAAAGCTATGTGAATGGTTCGTATGATACAGTACGAGGATAAATTTATTTAGTTTTGAAATGCAAAACGAGAGAAATTTGGAGCTTCTTGTTAAAATAAGAATATATTTAAAATATGTAATTTGTAGTATATTACAAAGAAGTTAATACAAAATCCGAATATACTGTAGTCGCATTAACAGAATTTTGGCTGAAGCTCGTTTAATAAGACTGCAGCGTTTATCTTAACGTTGCAAAAAGAAAAGCGAGAACTAAAATGTCAGGAAATTTTATCATTTTTGGAATACAGTACTTAAAATTTCATGAAAGACTTAAGTATTCTAAAAGAAATGATTCTTCTCAAATGCAAATTTACAAGATTTCTATAAACAAAACGAATTTTTTTTCTGATGTGGGCTTTTCTTTCTGTTTCCTAATACAGTAGAACCTCGAAAACTCGGCCTAATGTGGGCCGAAAGGTGGCCGAGTTTGTGAAAATGCCGGGTTATCGGGAATGGGGTTAAAAAAAATAAGGTATGAGTGTTTCCTCAGAAAATACTGTACTGTACTTGTATATATTGTTTACTTAAGAATACAACAGAGAATAAACTGCCCAAATACCCTTAAACAAAGGAAAAGTACGTCCTTTATGAAGACATAGAGCCTTTACTACATGAAAATGAAAATTAATGAATACACTGTGTACAGTAATTTACCTGATAAGACAGACCTCAGAAAAATACTTTATGAGAGCTTTTATACTTTTATAAAGCTGTCTATAATGAAAATTAATTAACTAAGGATTTTTTTGCCCTGCCATGGTGTGGCCGATTTATCCGGAGTGCCAGGTTATCGAGAGCCGAGTTTTCGAGGTTCTACTGTACTGTATTTAATTCAATTTGATAGAATTTAAATGTTCTCAGTGATTCGCGTTTATACATGACTAGATGATTTATTGAATAATCATTATTATATCATTTTACTTACAAAGTAAAATTTTATTAAAAAGTATAATTAAATTTGTTATTTATGCTATTATCCGTATTTCTAATATAACAAATATTTTACGTTAATTTTTGAAAAATTTTATACGTAAAGTATTACGTTTTTGAAATTTTCTAAAATGCTCCGAAAAGAATCACAAAATTACAAATGTAAGCTCGCTGACCTGGTGGAGATTGGGGACTTAAAATCCCACTTCTCGGACACCACGGACACTCGAGCGGTCAAGGTAGCAGCCTACCGCTCTGGGGAACTCGGGTTCGAATCCGAACGGGTTGAAAAATCCCTAGGAATTTTTCGGGAGGTGGTCCGTTTGGATATGTCGGGCCCAGTTCCTCACCACCTGGCAGCCCCATTGTGGGCCTGGCCGAACCCATAATAGGCTTGCGTAAAGAGGCCCTCTTAGTGCCCATAGGGCGGAAAGAGTTAAAAAGAAAAAGCCTATGGGTGTGAAGAACCTTTAATTAATAATTCAGATTAAAATCTCTTTCTAAGAAAGAAATCTTTTCAATTTCTACGGTGAATACTATGTATTGCATAAAAATATAATTTATAAACGGTAAATTAAAATGAAAAAACAATAAAACTAAATTTTCTAAAATGAATTTTGTGTTACTGAAACCAAAATTGGAGAAAGCGCTAACCTTCGATAGCTAGAAATTTTTGCTAAATGAACATATACGAATTTGGCCTACAAAAAGCGATTTAGTGGTATAAAGGCAAAGTCGAATTTTTACGGGTTCGGATTTCGAAACTGTAAGGACTCATTTATACTTTCTGCATATACAGTACTTCTGAATTTTATAATATTCTTTGTTTGTGGCAACGTGTAACATGGGCAATCTTTCGAAGGAAATACCTCCCGGCAGGACATTCTATGGTGAACTGGCTCCTATTTAGATGTTAAAAACACGAAGAAAATCTGGAAAACTCCACGTGACTAGCCTATTGGAAACCCTCAATACGAGGAAAGTTTATCCTGATTATATTTCTTACTGCTTTGTCAAAAATTCTTTACAGTTCTTTCAGGTCGACACCTTAGTGCAGGAGAATGACTTAGAAAATCACTTATTGAAAGAAAAGAAAGTAATTTGTATAGTTAAGATAGATATTTAATAATGCCGATGTTATTCAGACATTTCTTTGTTACGTGGGGGCACTTTTTCGAATGACTTAGAAGAGCTTTGCCAAAAATCTAATTGAATAACTTCAAAATCGTAATGCTTGTAAATGGGTTTATGTTTCAGACCTCACATTTTTTTCTTTTCACGATAAAAATTTTATTTTCTGTAATTAACAACCATTAGGTTACGGATGTCCGGATGGCCGAACGGTCAAGATGGCAGCATACCGCTCTGGGGAATCCAAGTCGAAAAATCCCAGGAATTTTTCGGGGGTGCTCCGTCCGGATATGTTAGGCTCAGTCCCTCACCACCCGGCCCCATTGTGGGCCTGGCCGAATCCATAATTGACTTGCTAAAAGAAGCCCTCTTAGTACCCACGGGGCGGAGAGTTAAAAAAAAAAAAAAAAGCATCATGTTATGATTAACATCCTTCTCACATTCTAATCGAATATCATCTTTTGTTAAAAATATATAAAAATTCATCTAATTTTCTGGAATCCTATATTAAAAAAATTAATTTTTAGTCACATTGTGGTTTTCTTTTTTTATATTAGGATTTCTCAAAACGGAGGTTCGCCTAGTAGTAATTTTTGTCGGAATTTGGCAACATTTTATTAGGTTTCCTGTCACGTGGTTTAGTCGAACGAAATTTGATGTTTGTATTGAATATGAGTCCTACACTATAACAAGAAAAAGAAGTCAAGGTAAAAGAAATTTGTTAATTAATAGAACATAACTTTTATACATGTAATAATTTAAATGTTTTGGTAATGCTTTATAAACCATACACCAACGTTTTCAAGCTATTTAATATAGGTATATATTATAATATTGGGTCAAGAACGGCAAGTGGTTTTAATATTATAAATGTTCCAAAATGGAACGTTCCTTTTTCGAATGTTTTAAATTTTGAAATAAACTGAAAGAAGTGTGTATATTAAATAAAATAAATAAATAAATTAATAAACAAATAAAACGTAGTAAACAAAGCTAATTAGAAAGAAACATGATTTAAGGGTTTTTATAAGCACCCATTCTTTTTTCTATTATATATTTCCATGCTGTTGGAAGCGCTTTAGCATTCCTAGCATTTAGGCAACAGTTTTTCATTTTACTTTTATAAATTTCCACCAATGGATGGAGACTGCACCATTTTAATGACTTTTGCCTCTTTCCATTTTATATTTTATTTATTTAATATACATGCTTCTTTCAATTTATTTTAAAATTAAATTATTTTTTGAATTTTAAAAATGTAAAATATTCGAAAATTGTATGTTCCATTTTGGAACATCTATACAGGTAACCCCCGTATAACACGGCACTTCTATAGCACGGATTCACTCTAACACGGTTCGAGAATTGGTACCATCCCCCGTATAACACGGTACTTTTATAGCACGGATTCACTCTGACACGGTTCGAGAAATGGGTAAAACCCTCGTACAACATGAAATGTAATAAATTTTTACATACTTAAGTACTAATAGTTCACAAAAATTATTATTTTCGTGAACTATTTGTACTTCAATGTGTAAATTTTCTTTTCTCGTCTCCATACACAAGGTCCTTCGCGAAAATTGTTTCAATTGTGCCATATCTTGACGCTTCTGCTTCTGGTGTTGCCAGATGTTTTTCCCTTATTCCATAAGTGCTTAGCACCATATAAGGAAATTTATAAAGATCTTTTAACTAGAAGCAAGCAATCTAAAATTACATACACTTTTTACAAAAGGTAAAGCATGAATCTGAAAATAATGCAGAAAAACGCTCAGAGGATAACGATAACTTGCAAAAATAAAATGCTCTCGGTTAATAATGCTTTTAGTGATGACAAAGAAAACATTGTTTAATTTATATTAATATGTATCACTTAAGAAAATTTTAATAAAGATATTTAACTTAATTATGAAAATACAGTAGCATGTTTTTTAATTTTTGGAACCTAACCCTCCTTTTCGTACTAGTTCTTTGATTCGCATAACACCGATTCGCATAACACGGCAATTTTTTGGAACGTAACTACCGTGTTATATGGGGGTTACCTGTACTTAATATAAAGAGGTAAAGTTTGTTTGTAAGGGTAATCTCCGAAACTACTCATCTGATTTCAAAAATTCTTTCATCAATATTTAGAATGGAACTTCAGGGTGGACACAGGCTGTATATTATTCTGTTAAACATTCATATAAATTGAAAGATATCATCTAGGATTAAGGCTTTTATGTCCAACAGATGGCGCTAACTCCGCGAGTATGACCAAGGTTTATATAAGAAGGTCAGGACACGGAAAAAGGCACGAAATTTAACCACCATCTTGGTGTGCTCATTTCGTTCCTTGATTTCAGTGATTTTAAGTACCTCTTTCCTGCGACTTTCGTCAACTTTACTGCAGTTCTTATTCTTTAGCTCCTGGTCTTCCTCTTTGGTCTTTTCTCTGCCCAGGTAGGAGTTTTTCTCTTTCTTTCAGCCGAAGTGGCTTCTCCTCTGGACTTGGTTATGGCGTTGCCCTCGCACGAGTGCCTTTAGCAGCCATCATCGGGATCAGAAGCACTCATAACTTCTGACAAATTAAGATTTATTTTTCCTCTGTCGGAATTGGAGAAACTCTTCTCCATCCGTTCGTCCCTTCCTTCGGATCAAATCTATACAATTTTCCTGGAAGGACAGAGACGTCTTCATCTGGCTGAGCTCCACGTGGCTCTCAAACTGCATTTCCCCCGACTAGAATTGCTGCAAGATGTCTGGTACTCCCGTAGCGGACATCTTGCAGCAATTCTGATTATTAGAAGAAATCAAAACTCAGGATCACCAGGCCGCAGATTCAGCTTTTTGTATTCCTGATATTGCCGGGATACCAGTCTGTGGCCACTGGCCCTGGACTGCACCCACACCACTTACCTCCTTTGTGGGGTGGATCTGTCGATCACAGCCCAAGAAATTTATGATATCTTTTCGGACTCCCACCTTCCAATCTTAGAGATACGTTGTTTCACACGACTGGACAGGGATAACAATGTGTCTAGCTCCACTGTTTACTTCTCTGTGGCCAGTGCCTCCAGCTGGAATACGTTACTATCTATTAACAACATTACCACTGTGAGTGGTAATGTTATTAATAGATAGTAACGTAGCCTATGTTGATATATTTCTCGCCCACACCAATGCAGGCGATGCCTCACATTTTGGCCACTCACCCACAATGTGCCGCAGCCGCTACAAATATATTGGGTCATGTATTGGGTCACAAATGTATTGGGTCATGTATTGGGTCATGGTCAGCCACTTGCAGGGCTGACCATGACCCGACTGCATGTACCGCCGCTGCAGCTGGCTGTGTGTGTTGCAGAGGAGAACATTCTGCGGATTCTCCCTTTTGCCCAGCCTATCAGCAAGAGGCACGCCTGTTGAAATTCAGCATCACCCAGCACTGTTCTTATCTAGAAGCTAAGTGCTCACAGGACAACTCCTCAAAATCATATGCAAGAGTGGCTTCAACTTCCCCCCAAAACTGCTCGAGAGAACCCCTCGTTGTGAAAAGCAGCCAGCTCTTTCTACTATTGAACAGACAGATAACATTCTGACCCAACCAATAATATTTCCCAATTGGAATCCATAGTGGAGAAGCTATGCACAGACTTAAGTCTTCTTCGCTCAATTATTCATCCTACCCCACTTAACCCAACTCAGGGTTCCCTCCGTGAGCCGAATCTGGACAAGGATCTGACTGTGTCCATGTCACATAAGTGCTCTTCCCACCTGGCGGGCTCTTTGACTCCCGTCCAACTCCCAAAGAAGAAGAAAGGACCTAAACCTCGTCCCACTGATCCATTGGCGGCATCCGACTCAGAAGGTCCAAATTCGGACATGGACCTAATGTACTCCACGGGGTCCACAAGAGTAACCCCTGTAGATGACCCTTGCATTGCCTCCCCAGCTGAGCAGGCTAAACTTTGCCGCCACCCACCCAACACCCCCAAGCATAATGTCTAACTCCTCAAGCAACTTGCAAAATCTCCACTTGATACACTGGAACGTGATAGGACTTCATTCTAAATGTGATCTCCTTTTGGCGGCGTCTTCGCTATGTACCATGGACATCCTCCTGGTACAGGAGACGTGGCTAACTCTTGAAGGGGTCTTTTCCATTCCAGGATTCACTCTCTTCTGCCATGATCACACCTCTGCTCAGGGTGGGGGTCTCCTAACAGTGATCTCTCACTGGTGGCCTGCCCACCAGCTGCCCCCTGGTCCTAAGATCACAGGTACCGAATATCAAGAGACCTTGGTATACTTTTCACAGGCTCCTCTCTCTCTCTTGTTAAAATTTATTCCCCACACGGCGTCCTTTCATCTGTTTCACTGGACCCCCTTTTGCGGGGCAACCACTACCCTCGCATAGTGTTCGGGGCTGGAACACTCATCGTCCTCATTGGGATAATGAGTGCAAATGCCCAGACATTGCAGGCTGCACCCTCTTTGATTGGTTCTCATCCATGAACTTATGTTGTTGGAACTTAGGGAAACCAACTTATTTCCACTCAAACAGATCATCATCTATAGACCTGACCTTTGCTCCCTGGACCTATTATGTTCTGCCTTGTGGAGCCCTTGCATGGACACCTTAACCAGTGATCACGCTCCTATTTCAATCACTCTATCTTTCTCAGGCACCCCTCGTTTACATTTTTCAACAAACTGGAGTTGTTATTCCAATAACCTCGATCAGCTTTGGACCACCAAGGAATCAATTCCCACCTCATATAATGCCTTTGTAGACAATCATCAATCAATCAATCATTTTTATTAGGTGCTCGAGGCATATACTCAGCACCGCATGAGCACAGCTGAGAAAAATTATATACATTTTACAATAGTACATATTAACAGTGTATACAAAACTGTCAGTTAAATACAAAATATTACAGAGAGAATAATTAATACATTAATAACATTAATACAGAATAACAATGAAATATTATTACAGAATAGCAATGTATACAGAGTTATCATATGTAGAAAATATTGGTACAGTAGAGCCTCGAAAACTCGGCACTCGATAACCCGGCACTCCGGATAACTCGGCCACACCCTGGCAGGGCAAAAAAATCCTTAGTTAATTAATTTTCATGATAAAGACAGCTTTATGCCTCATAAAGTATTTTTCTGAGGTCTGTCTTATCAGGTAAATTACTGTACACAGTGTATACATTAATTTTCATTTTCATGTAGTAAAGGCTCTATGCCTTCATAAAAGATGTACTTTTCCTTTGTTTAAGGGTGTTTGGGAAGTTTATTCTCTGTTGTATTCTCAAGTAAACAATACATACAAGTACAGTACAGTATTTTCTGAGGAAACACTCATACTTATTTTTTTTAACCCCATTCCCGATAACCCGGCATTTTCACAAACTCGGCCACCTTTCGGTCCACATTAGGCTGAGTTTTCGAGGCTCTGCTGTATTTAGAACTTAATAACTAACATGAGAAAAATAAACTTAATAACTAAAATTAAGGCTAAGAGAGAGTTCAATGGAATAATATAGAGGAAAAATGTGCAGAGCAAAACACTGGGAGTTACTCTATATTCTCTTGAAATAAGTCCGTTATGGAGGAACCACAAAATTAATTACAGTAGATCCCCCTATAAAACCGTTTCCTATAGTTATGATTCCTATAAAAATTGTGGCAGTATCCGTAAACAATGGTAAAAATAACTCCTATAATACGTAAAACGTCATTGGGCAGCCGAACTACTTTCCCGCCGTCCGTAGCGCCACGCTACGGACGTTTAGGCGGATAAATTGAGTTTAGTATCGTCTGTTCATATAATTATATATAAATTAGGTACTGTACATATAATTATATATTAATTATATATAAATTAGGTACTGTATATATAATTATATATTAACTTAATTTATTGTAACTTTATTATAATTAAATATATATTTTTCGCTGTCTAGCGTCACGCTACGGCGAGTTAGGCGACCTATCGTCTGTCCAGTACTGTAATTTTATACATTTCTTGTGAAAGAAACATTTCTTATTCAACGGCCATAAAAATTATTTATATTAATGATGTCTCCAAGTTCAACGAAGTTTTCGCAGAAAAATAATATCAGAAATTGCGGCCGCGGTTTGATGCGCTGTTCCGCGATGAAACCAAGCTTTAGCAACGGGCGTAGTCGAACGGTACACACTCGGTAAGCAATCCTACAATTTTTTGTTTATAATGTAGTTTATACGGATTATTTCCAAAAAAATATACGTATTTTGGAAATGTTGAGTCGAATTAGTCTAGAATCGATTAATTTTATGAAAGAAAACCTTTCAAACAGCCGTAGTCCGTAAACGATGATTCCTACAAAATTGATTCATAAAGAACGGAACGTATCTACCGTCTTATAGGGGGATCTACTGTAAATTAATTAATTAATTAAAATTGAAATCAAATCAATAAAATCATATGTCAGAAAGTAAGGATAAAGTACTTGTCTTTGTCTGTCTTGATTGATTTGGAAACATTTTGCTTTTAATATATATATATAGAATAAATAAATATAGATATTTATTTGCTTTATAATATAATATTTTATAATAATATATAGTCGAGTTTGCATAAGTCATCATAGGTATAACTAGACACCATCAGTTAAGTAGTCAGTTTTCTGTGGTCCCGGCCAACTTACATAGGCATTAATGTTAAAAAAAAACTCTGGTTTACTCAACACCGTTTAACTCGTCACTACTGGATAAATCAACATACTTTTTTTGCCCCACACTGGTTTAGAGGTCTGATAACTTGACTCCTCATCTGAAAAGAATGAGTTCACACCACACAGCTTAATGTCACAGCAGAATCCAATTTTGCATTTTCTCACCTTTCATTCATGTGTTGTTTGCAGCAAGTGTTTCATGTTTCTGTTAGAAATGAGTATCTGAAACCTAACAACTTTTACGCTGAAGGAAAATATGAACTTGTATCTGAATTTGAATGTAATAAAACTTTGCAAGACAAATTTGCAAAACAAGAAAACATTCCAAGAACAACATTGGTGGGAATTCTGAAGAAAAAAGAGGAAACTTTTCTTGGGTCTTTATCGTAGATGTCTCAAACACCAGAGAAAATCACCGTACAAAGATGTCGAAGATACTCTGGTATGTTGGCTAAAGCAAATTCATTCATCGAATCTTCCTGTTTCAGGGCTGATGCTGAAACAAAAAGTGATGAAAATTGCTGATGTACTTGGAGTAGAAACCAACTTTAATGCCAGTGATGGATGGTCCGAGAGATACATTGAATGTACTGTATAAAGCATTACTGTATTTTCCTAATTGTAGTTTTGTGGGTTTTTTCAACTTCCTTTTAGTTGTCATATTGGATAACTTGACACATTTCCACTTCCCCTTGGGTGTTGACTTATTATTTTTATATTGCCTTTATAGGCATTTTTATTCATGAAATACAGGTAAAAAGGTAAAAAAAAAAGTTTTGTTTTGGGATTTGGAAAATAATAAGAAATAATATAAGAAATAATATAAAATGGATTAATCCATTTTATATTATTTCTTATGGGAAAATTTATTTTTGTTTAAGGACAAATTTTAGGAACAAATTTTGAAACCTGAGGTTTGACTGTGTTTCAAATTGCTATTTTTAGCTCATTCTTGCAACCCTGAAACTCAGCCATATTTTATAAGAGAAAAAAAGGATAATCAATAGGTAAGGTGATACGTAAAATGTGTTACTGTTAAAGCAAAGCCATGTTAACCAGATTAGAGTTGTTTGTGGTCTGTTATTCTTTTATAATATGGAAACAAGTGAACTTTGATACAACTTTGTACAAGTTAATATATGCATATCACAATTTAGACAGAATTTTTACTTTAACTCCTTGGACCTCCACCAATTTTTAATATTAATGTAATTAATTAAACATAAAAAATACTTAAAACTGAAAAAAAAAACAAAAGAAATGCTTTAATTTTGAAGAGAGCTTCAAAGTTTAACTTCCATTGTCTTGCCTTTCCATGGAATCTGATGCCAATGAGTAAATTGTATTTAACAGATGGATGACCTTGAGAACAGCTGGTGTTGGATTTCCTGGGACATTCTCAAAACCTATAGGAGGCGAATGGTTTATAGTAGGGTGAATACTAGCTGGCTGTATATTTTTAAATATTTTTAAAAAATTACATTTTTTATTGCGGTTTCTGACCCCGACTTAATTAAACGTATATATAATAAAATCTATTAATTAAAAAAATTAAAAAACTACTGGAGGTCATTTTTGACATCAGAAACTAGCTTTAAATAACTTTACCGAAGTAAAATCCGTGCACTAGAACTTTAGAACGATGAATGAAATTTGATATAAAAATCCCATTAAACAACAATTAAGCGTTAATCGTGCGTCATTAAAGGTAGATTAAAATTGCGATAAAATTTTTTTGCGCGGGAAAAAATTTTTGAAAAAATTTGGAGACAAAAAACATCCAAAAATCCCCCAAAAATTTTTTTTTGAGTTAAAGTAGCCGTATTTCAAACTAACTGAATTCCTTAACATAGAAACCTCTATATACCCAGCTGGGACAAATAGTACAGTTATGAACTAACAGGATTTTGAATTATCTGAATTCAAATTAAAGAGAATTTCCAGTATTTAGCCTTAACTCTTGGCATGAGATTTCATGACCCATCACAATGCTGGGATGCAATTTTTAATCGTAACTTTTTAATTTAAAATATAGTCTCTCCACCTCAAATTAGTAATGACTTGCCCCTGTATATTATACTTTTCATTTAACAATAGAGTAATGCTGGTCATCTATCTAACACCTTTCAGGGAAGAATTTTTAAATTGAAATAACACAACTTCTGGTTTGCATTGGAAGTTCATATATAGTTAATCAGGACCTCCTGCTCTTAAGGTTTCCATATTTGGTCTTAGCTTTCATCTATCTAACTTTGTTCCTGAGATTAAGGAAAGATGGTCAGACAGACTGCAGTAGGAATTTATAGATCTAAAATTTTTTCAAATTGCAACTCAATAAGTTTAAAAATATATAAGTGTATATATTTTTATAAAATATATAAGTATATATTTTTACTTATATACTTATATTATATATTAATACATTATATATATATATTTTTTTTTTTTTTTTGTTAAAATTCAAACTTGCATTTTAATGTAATAAACTGATTTTTTTCATAGTTTGAATTGATTTTTCTTTCAGTTTTTAAAAGAGATGACAACATCGGGAGAATTAACATTGGATCATATTTTAAATTTCTTGTGTGTTGAGAAAGAGCCAGAAAGAATTTTTGTAGAACCAACTTTGACACGTGGCTTAGGCATTGATAATAGAAGCACACATCCTTCTGCTTCAGCAAGAAGAACTTCTACATCAGATTCGTAAGTTAAAAAACTATATATCTTTTACATTACCTTTTTACAGTATAAAATGTTACCAGATAGGGCAGCACCACGTCATGTGCCTTGTCAGGATGACACCAGTATGTCGGAATTGACATACGATTGCAATAGTGGTCTCATTCTCACGCAAGCAGTTACGTACATGGGCGATCAGATTTGGGATGGAGGAGGGTTGAGAGACGGATCGGAAGGGACTCAAGCTTAGTTCACACAGAGCGCAATTCACTGGCAAAAGTGAAAAACAGAGTGAACAACCGGTCAAACATGACTCATTTAATGGGTTTTTTGCTTTTGCCAGCAAATTGCGCTCAGTGTGAACTAAGTTTCATTCAGATACAAGATTAACAACTAAAATAATTGATTTAATTCAACAAAAAAAAAAAAAAATACATAGCTCTATGCTATTGAATAGTGGTCAAGAGAGTTTACAAGAAATCATGAGTTGGTATATATACCTTTGATGTACAATACGTAATTGTGTGGATTTCAGAACTAGGACTTTTTCTGACGTTTGTTGGTTGTTCGTCAGTTCAGGTGGTCGGTCGTTTGTTCGGTCGGTTGGAGCTGTTAGGGAGGTGTTGTTCCTTTTCTCAGATGGCGGTTAAACCCAGGAAAATTGGAGGATATAAAAATCAGGAGTTCAAAGTTGTTAAACACCACAGAGTATGAAATCCTGGCACTTAATTGATACTCTTGTGAACGCTCGATGACCCCCTTATTTTTGAGTCACTCCTTTTATACCTCCATATCACATTATTTTTTTTCACCAATTAAGAATTTTTTATAGTAGTTTCCAGTGACACATCTGATGAGTTCCCTGCGAAAGGAAATGACTCTGGAGAGAGATGTGATCATTCTTAGGTAATAAAATTCGGTAATAAATTTCGGTAAAAATTTGGTAAAAATTTGTTTTTTGTCTTTTGAAAAATTTTTCAAAAGACAAAAAACGAATTTTCTCTCAAAATTCATTTATCTCAAAAAATTTTTAACCTTTTGTCAGGTGCAATATGTATTTTTAAACAAGCAGGCGCAACCATTTCTGGGGATGGACAATTTTTTTCTTTCAGGTTAAATAATAATTACCATCATTTTTCTTAATTATCATGTTATAATTATTTGAAAAAATAATAATATACATGAAAAAAATACAAAGCAATAAGGAAAATAGGGTAAAATTACAATACAGTCGACCCCCCTATAAGATCATAGATGCGTTCCATTCTTTAGGAATCTGATTTCTTAAGAGTCCTTCTAATCACAGCCTGACACGTGTGAAGTTTACGGACTACGGCTGATTGAAAGGTTTTCTTCCATAAAATTAATCGATTCTAGACTAATCCGACTCAACATTTCCAAAATACGTATATTTTTTTTTTTTTGGAAATAATCCATATAAACTACGCTATAAACAAAAAATTGTAGGATTACTTACTGAGTGTGCACCATTCGACATCGCCATTGCTAAAGCTTGTCTTCGTCATGAAGCAGCACACCAAACCGCTTATGATAACTTATTTTTCTGCGAAAACTTCGTTGAACTTCGGAGACATCATTAATATAAATAATTTTTATCGCTGTTGAATAAGAAATGTTTCTTTCACAAGAAATGTATAAAATTACAGTACTGTATTAGACTTACGGTAGCTAATTTACATACTGTACAGACGATAGATAGCATAAAATCTCCGTAGCATAATGCCACGCAGCGGGAAAAAAATATATAATTATAATAAAGTTACAATAAATTAAGTTAATATATAATTATATATACAGTACCTAATTTATATATAATTAATATATAATTATATGTACAGTACCTAATTTATATATAATTTATATAATACTGTCCAGACGATAGAAATCTCTCTGTAGCGTGGCGCTACGGACGGCGGGAAAGTAGTTCAGCTGCCCGATGACGTTTTACGTAATTATAGGAGTTTTTTTTACCATTTTTTACGGATACTGTCACAATTTTTTCGCAGTTTTATAGGAATCGTAATTATAGGGACCGTAATTATAGGGGGGTCGACTGTATAACATATCACTACTTTGAACATTATTAGTTGTCGTTGTTGGAAACACACATTGCAATTCACTTTAATGTTCACTTTTTCTGAAATTTTTTTGCACCTAGGTTGCCTTCATTTTCGTCTTGTATAGTAGTTTTGCATTTTGCTCCACCTTTCCCGAATGATCTTGAAGAATGCAAAGCATGTCTTGTAGTCTTATGAACCAATAAAAATATCATACTTGCAGTTAAAAGCGTAAAAGTTGTATAAATGAGTAGTAAAAATGAACCAATCTATTTTTCTAGTAAAAAATATAAAAACACAGTTATAATTATCTATAATATAAATAAATGTTTGCTTTTATTTAAAAATAAATATATTTTTTAATTCTTAATGTTTATTAACAAAAATAAGGTAAGAAAGATAAAAATAGCAGGAAAAAATGAACGAATTACTAACATCTTTTTCACAGATCCATGTAACACAAGCAGGTGCAATATGTAATTAGGATGGGTTATACATAATTATCCTGATGGTGATCCATTGATTGGATTGAAAATGTTTGTTTAAAGAATAAATCTCTCAGCGAGTGATTAGGTGTTGATTAAGTCATTATTTTCTGCTGAGCATGCTTTGGGTTGTTTATATACATATTTCTTCTGAAAAAAGTAACTGTTTTCTGAAACCAAAAAACTCCTCATTCTGGTGTTATTTAGTGCACATATCCCTTTGAAAATACATCTACTCTTCAGGCTGATCATATGCACTTAGAAGCAATGATGTACATAAGAAAAATACCATCTTGAAAATGGGGTCGCACCTAGCAAAAGATTAAATACTCATTATTTTAAAGTTATTTAATAAATTTTAATGGCATTTCACTTGATAATAACAACATATCATTTATTATAATTTATAAAAATCAAAACATATAAAGTAGACTCTGCTTATTGTAACCCTTGGATATTTTTATCAGTCATTTAATGTTATCAAAGCAAGTCTAAAAACATGAGTTAAAATACACATGTAAAATATTTAATAATATATATGTAATTTTGATGATTGTTTTTGTGGGATATATTAATTGTGGTGTTGGTGGCAGTAAAATTTAACTATCATAACATTATTTAATGATTATAAATAAGTAAATAGTGGAAAAAGACATCAGTCTTACTTTCCAGCTTCAGCAGGTGGATTATAATGTGCAATTATTATTAGTTATTATTAGTCTAATCAGTGTTTTAAATGTTAATTGTTTTAATTGCTGTTTGCTTATAGTACAATCATTTAAATTGTTGGCATTTTAAATACCAGTAATTAAATTTATTTGGCCAATTTTGTTTGGAGTTTTTCTAGTTCTGTATAATTCTAAATGAATAAGTTAGTACTGGAACAACATATGTGGTGTTTGCATTAGTTGTGTTATTTGCATTTAGTTTAATCTGCTGATGTATTATTTTAGTGTGTGTTTGATTTGTAAGTTTGGCTTTTTGGAATCCTAAATATTTGTAAACTTTGTCCTCATCCATGATGCAATTGTGTTTTTATATGTAGAAGTAAGAATAGAAAATATTCTCCATTCAAGCTTTTTAATATTGAAAATTCTTTTTTGGCTGCAATTTATAAAAATTTAACAAAATCTTTTCTTCAAATAGGTTTTTATATTGATAAAAAATTATTTGTAGTAAGATCTATTAATTCTATTTGATTTTTTAAAGTTTATATGATTTGAAAGTTCAAATATTGATGAAAAACATGTCAAAGAAATCAAGCTATGCAACCCAGGTAAATATGCTTCGGGCTGTATTTGACCTGTGAATTAGGTTGGAGACCATAGTCTAGGCCAAACTCCATGTGAATGTCAGTGGAATAAATATATGTAAGTTCTACTTGTGCATAGCATTTTATGTCATCCATGTACAGAAAATGGGATAGAATGTATCCATGTTTAGTTTTATTTAACACGCTTCTTGTCCGCTTTTTAAAAAAAATTTTTAATTAAGCATAAAAAATACTTAAAACTGAAAAAGACGAAAGAAATGCGTTAATTTTGGTTAAAAAGCTTCATCATTTAGTTTCCTTTGCCTCGCCTTTCTGTGAAATTTAACATCGATGAGTCATTGTTTACAATCTGGATGACCTTGAGAACATCTGGTGTGGTATTTCCCAGACATTCTCATAGACGTCTCGGGAGGACAAGGGTTTAAAGTAGGGTGACTATGGCCAACACGTATATTTTTAAATATTTTTAAAAAATTAAAATTTTTATTGCGATTTCCGACCCCCCCGGCTTAATTAAACTTATATATAATAAAATCTATTAATTAAAAAAATTAAAAAAGTATCGGAGGTCGTTTTTGACATCAGAAAGCAGCTTTAAATAAGTTTACCGAAGGAAAATCGGTGCACTACAACTTTAGAATGATTAATTAATTTTGATAAAAAACTCCCATTAAAAAAACATTAAAAGGCAATTAAGCCTTAATCGAGCCTTATTAAAGGCTCATTAAAATCACAATAAAATTTTTTCGCGCGGGCAAAAAATTCTGAAAAAATTTGGGGACCTAAAAAACATTCCAAAAATTAAAAAAAAGTTTTTGGGGGCCCAAATGCCCGGTTTTTTTAACGCTATAAACCTTGCTTCAGTCAGACTCGGGACCAAAGTGGATTTGGGAATCTTATCTTATGTGTATTTGTTTTGTTTTGATATATGAGGGTGATTCAAAGAGTAAGGTAACAAGAGCTCTTGCAGGTGTCATATTCCTCCTCTTGTTTGAATTTCCCATTAGGGCAGCAGCAGAAGTCCACAGCTTTATTGCACAGGCATTAGATGGTGCAAATGTTTCATCAGACTCTTGCAATATCATTTTGAAAATGGTTGTGCTCACAGAAACATTGTCAAACGGGAAAGTGTATAGTGTGATTCGGTCTGAAGGGCAACGCACCAGTAGAAATTCATCATTAACTTGTTGAGGTGTACAGTGATAATGTCATGTCACAAAAACAGGTGTGGGTTTGGTGCATTGAGTTCGATAAAGGTAGGACAGTGTGCAAACTGAGTAAACTGAATTGTTATGGTGCTTTAAGATGGAGGTATTGGAATATCTTCCTTATAGCTCCAACCTAGCACCCTGTGAATTCCATCTCTTCAGACCATTGAAAAAGAATCTGAGTGGTAGGCGATTTCAAACTAATATGGAAGTTCAGCAAGCTGTCATGGCTGAGAGGACTTGATGCAGATTTCTTCTCTGCCAGCATCAATGGCTTGGTATATCATTGGAATAAATGTTTGGACAAGCATGGTGACTATGTTCAAAAATAATATGTACCAGTGCCATAATCTGTATCACTATATCTGCTTGTGAAATAAAATTTGTACAGGAGAGCTCTTGTTACCTTACTTTTTGAATCACCCTTGTATCTTGTGAAGTTTGTTAATGCAACACCTGATAGTGACACTTATATATATATATATAATTTAGTAAGTATTGACTGTATTTTGTAGGTGTGGTACATGTAATAACCATGGATGTGGAATGTTGTTGAATGCTTTTCTTTAATATATGTATGGTACTATAGGTTTCTATGTTTATGCATTTGTCATAGAATTATTGAAGAGAAAACTTTTTATTCTGTGAGAATATTATATTGCTCAATGTTTTGGTATATTTTGTTTGTGATGCACAATATGTGTTTTGTGGACATCAATGATGTGTTTGGTCTGTATTGTGTAAGGTTTTCTGATGTCATTTTTGGGTTTTACGTTTTTGATGCCCATCCAAACGTACGCCATTCAGAGGGATTTTACCTGTTTCCATTGTCTACCTCCTCTCCCTCCTCCTTCCCCTCCCCTTTCCCTCCCCTTTCCCTTACCCTTTTTTCCACTAGCTAAACACCTCGTGTACAGCTGATGTCTTTCATGTATGTATGTATGTCTGCATGTATGTGTGATGTCCTGTGTAGGGAGTTTCGTCATGTCATGTGGATTGTTGTTTGTGTGTGTAAAATGTTTGACTATTTCCTCATGAAGGGATGTTGAACCAGAAATTGTGAACGTTGTCTTTATCAAATGTCTTTTAACTATGGTTTTTTTTTTTTTTAATTACCCATTGAATGTTGTATGTATTTCATCATACAGGGCATAATTTCAATATAAAAATTCAAATTATGTTCTCGTTATTAATTATTAGTTGTGATGTGTTGTGTTGTTTTTAGTATATTGTGTTAGCTTGTCTAATGTTCATTTGTTTCTATTCTTTGTCAGACAGTCTTAAAATTTGTCTGTGTTTTGATAGTCTGTTTTGAATTGTACTTTAAAGCTGTGGTTGCTACTACAATGACTATGCAAGAATAAAGTATGTATGTCTGTAAGTGCTAAATTAATTGGATGTGTTTTAATATTGTTCGTCTGTTTAGTGTTAGTGTGAGATTTTTCTTAATTGTTTGAATGTGTTTATTTTGGTATTTGTGGGCTCTGTGATGGGAATATAAATCTGGTATATTTAGTAAATATTTCTTTGAGATAAGTGTGTGTGTGTATGAGATCTAACAATTTGAATCATGTGTATAGAGATTTGGCTTCTTTTTTTCATGAGGAAGAAGATAGGAAATGTGCTTACAAACTTCTCTCCCAAGACAAAACTTTTTATTTACCTTAGAAACATATTTTGCTCTATACTATATAGTTGCCTCCTTGTGAACATGTAAAATACACTGTATGGGTATTCTTTTCTGGAGAAGGAAAGTTCTTAAGGTAGATGGGTGAGTGATAAATGGTGGCAGTTAATCCGGTGAATAGTTTCAGGTTTGAAGAGATGGACAATAGATGGAGGTTGGGCTAATGGAAAGTTGGAGGAATGAATGCACATATGCTCATATATCCTCATACCGCAGAGATAACTAGATAGAAAACACTGCACTCTCTTCAAACATTTGTATGGAAGGATTTTCTTTCTAAAGATTATTTCCTTAGGAATTATTTTTCAAACCTTGTTTTGTTGACCATCAATCCAACTCATCTTTGATTTGGCTGTTTGGTCCATCGCAAATAGTTTGAGGGTCACCTTGGGGTTGATCCCTTAGTTTGGAAGGAAGCTTATGCTCCCACTAGTCTTGCTCTGAGGTTCATTGGAAATACTAAGTTTTCTCTTGTTAACAAGTGGTGGCTAGAATAAGAATTACTTTTATTAATTAAATCGGCACTGCACTACACCGGGATAGAATAATCAAAAAACAACGTACAATGAACCTGTTTCCGGTGTGCTTCTCTGTAAACGAAGTATTACTAGCGCTTTCGAACTTTAAGTTCTTCCTCAGGTAACATGTCTAAGCGAACGCCATTCAAATTTGATTGAAAAAAGAACATCATTACGAATTTTCTCGTACGTATCGCTGGCGTCATTGACGCATGCGCCCCTTCGCTGGTTCTAAATTAACGTAACTTTTTGTCTACGAGCACCTGCCATGCAGTTGACAGGATGATCTCGTCTTTGTTGTTAATGCAATTGTCGTCTTTAAGCGTAGCCATACATATGTACAGGGCCTCTAGCCATCTAAGGTGGTGTGTGTACTTTGTAGTGCGGATTACCTTGGCCTGGCTGAATAACGGTTCTATTTCCGTATCCGAGGCATAGACGGCAAGAGCGGTGTTTTGCCTTGCATGTAGAATATCCGCCATGTGTTCTTTAATTCTCACCTNAAAAAAAAAAAGTTGAAATAAAGTGATTAAACAAACATTATTACGAATATCGTAAATAACAGATCACAAATGCATATATAGAAATATTTTTTGAAGGGAGAAATGGTCTTCACAATTTGAAATCGATAGGACACACTGTGCTCGAATGCTCGTGTAAACGCGCGCCATCTATCATAGGATAAATGTACTATGCCAAAAACCTTCGCGGGAGTGTATTAAAAAACTTTCCGAAGTTTTATGGCAATCGTACTATGCCACAAACCTTCGCCGGAGTATATTAAACAACTTCCCAAAGTTTCACGGCAATCGGATAAATGGTGTGGTAATGCATGAAGGACACACACACACACACATTCACACATTCATTTTTATATATATATAGATTACAACTGTGTTTTGTTTTTTTCTTGTTTAATATTATAATCAATAATTTTTAGTATCTTTGAAAATAATCTGAATAATTGATGTTTTATATAATAATTTTTGTAATGTTTATTTCTTTGAAAATTAATCAATTTTTATTTTAGTTTTAGTAGATCAGAAAACGATTATTATAAGAAATATCAAGAGGAGGAAAAAAAGCTAACCTCTCAGGTAAACAAATTAAAAATAATAGCTTTTTATAATAATTTTTGTAATGTTTATTTCTTTGAAAATTAATCAATTTTTATTTTAGTTTTAGTAGATCAGAAAACGATTATTATAAGAAATATCAAGAGGAGGAAAAAAAGCTAACCTCTCAGGTAAACAAATTAAAAATAATAGCTTTTGTTTAAAAGTTTGGTAATTCTGATAAAACATAAAATTTTATAATGATTGTCTATGTTAGATATTGTCAAAATTTTTTTAGTCATGTAAGAAGACTAAAAATATCACCTATAGTAGAATTGGTTTTTTCCTTTCAAGTTATTTTTCAATTCTATCAAGTATAAATGAAGCTTAATCCAATGTTTAGATGAATGTCAAATGAATGCCATAATATATATATTGGGCTATATTAATGCTCCTATTAATATCTCTAGGCCAAGTTGTTTGATATTTAATTGTTAATAATAGCATTAATACAGCCCAATATAATTTGGAAATTATTTGATATAAATGTTTATGATCAAAGCTAGTTTCCTTTCAGAAATAGGTAAACAGTTCTATTGTGTACTGTACAGTAGACCCCCCTATAACGCTTAGATACGTTCCACGTTATTTGAATTTTATGTTGTAGGAATCATTAAATACATGAGCCAATCACAGCCCGACACGTGTGAAGTTTACGGACTAAGGCTGTTTGAAAGGTTTTCTTCTATAAAATTAACCGATTCTAGACTAATTCCACTCAACATTTCCAAAGCGCACAATTTTTTGGGAATAATCCGTATAAACTATGCTATAAACAAAAATTGTAGGATTACTTACTGAGTATGCACCGTTCGACTACGCCGTTGCTCAAGCTTGTTTTCGTTGCAGAACAGCGCATGAAACGGCGGCTGCGATTTCTGATAACGAATTTTTCGCAGAAAAATAACTTGACCTTTGGAGACATCGTTAATATAAATAATTTTTATGGCCGTTGAATAGGAAATGTTTCTTTCACAAGAAATGTATAAAATTACAGTACTGTATTAGACTTATGATACCTAATTTACATACTGTACAGACGATAATAAACTCAACTTACTAGCCTAAACCCTCCGTAGCGCGGCGCTGGGCGGCGGAAAGTAATTCGGCTGCTCGTCCACTATTGGTCCAGATTCGACCAATCTTGTCGCGACAGGAGTCAGCAACGACATTTTACGAGTCACTTTATACGAATACTGCTACGTTATAGGACTTTTTGTTATAGGAACCCACGTTATAGGGGGGTCGACAGTATACAATATTTGTGAATTTGTAGACAGAGATCTGTAGAAAAATACTTGTAGATTTGTATTTTTGTCTCTGTACTTTCTACTGTTTTATTTTTGTGCTTCCAACAGTTTTTTTACACTGTAGATAGTATTTTCTACAAAGATTCAAATACAATATAACATATCTGCTACTTTATTATGCCTTTTTTTTTAGTCTGACAGTTTTCTTTGTAGATTATATTAAATATTGTATTACTTAATCACTTTCCGTGCAGAGATGTCAGCAGATTATCTTTAATTAAACAATTAATTAAAGATTCAGAATTTTCTGAATCTTTAATCTGCTAATTTAATTCATTTGTTTATAATGTCTGCTAATGTGTTTTTAACACATTAAACATCATTTGTTGCAAATATGCAACACACTCAGCAAGTAACCTAGGCTATGTGTTGTGTTTCTGCAACAAATACTATATTGAAATCTGTACTGTGTTACTTCAAAGCAACACTCTAGCTATATAAATGTAATGGAAATAGTTAGAGCATGGCCTGTGGGAATGAAAATTGCACTTGGTTCAATAAATTAAATTTCTATTTGCATTCTATCAAAAAAAAAGAATGCAAATAGAAATTTAATTTATTTCCCTATAAAATATGAAAAATATTCAAAATTTGACTTTCCTAGTGTTTTTCTTGCATAGTGATCATGAATAAATACAATATGAAAATATAAAACACAAAAACAAATATTCAACAAACAATATTTTTTTTTTAAAGAACAAAACAAAAAAAACAGTAAGTATATTATTTTAGTATGATTATTTTATTTTTCTTGGATTTGTATAGGTTCATTTATACAATCCAGAATTTATACATTTATGTGGTAGAAGTTCTGTTGAATTTAAAACCTTATGTGCATACAAGATGGCGTAATATGATCAGAAAAAACTCATTCAGACCACGTGTTGCAATTCCATAACACATCTAAAAATCAAGAAAAAAATGTTTTTCAATGACGAAGACAAAAGTATATTAAGTGGCCATAATTTTTGTTATTTTAAAGAGCATGGCCATAAAAGAGCATGGCCAGTGTGATATTTTATGATTTTCTATTGTGGTGCTTAATGTGTTAAAAGATTTTTTTTCAGAATTTTTAACTATTTCCAGGTGCTTATATTATTGATTTTTCTTTAAATTGAGTTCAAATATTTGTCTTAAAGGTCTTTATTTTGCCATTTCTTCCTTCATTTCAGTAACTGTTGTCTTTGATTAGTTTCTTCATTCCAAAAGTATTTAATAGGTCTTGTTTACTTTTTCCTTTTAGTATTTTTTCTTAGTTATTCTTTATGTATATTACTAAAACTTTTTTCTTAACTGATTTCTGAACTTACAACACTTACATCCATTTTCATTTATAAGTTAAATGTATCAACATCACAATGAATTTAATGCATAATTGATAGTCATTAGCTTCATAATCTTGCAGTCAGTTTTCTTGCTCTACTTCTGTCAATTCAATAATTTTAGCAGTATATCAAATGGAAATTAATTGTGGTTTTAACCATGTGTTATACTAGCCATTTCTGGGGGTTTAGAGCTTTGATAGAACTGTTACAATTTCAATATTTTTGTAACTAAATATATTTCTTGTCGATCCTAATTTCCATTTTTAAATGCTTTATTATATCAATTTATAGGATACCCAAATATTTATATCACTTTTTTGACATTATGCTGTTTGTCATGACAAAAGTGGATCTCCTTGAACAGTGATGGGCAAACTTTTTAAAGAGCGGGCCAAAGGAAAAGAAGAAAACTTTAGGCGGGCCAATATAATTGTAACCTAGCGCTGCATCTGAAAATCCAGGTGGCGCTATAAAAACACGTGCAGGCAATCCGCCATATTTCTTTTTCTCTCTTTCGGCTACGCTACGCACGACGAGTGGATGTTCTGTACCAAAGCATGCTTGTAACCGATCGAGCTTTTACTCAATAAGTGTAAAACAAAATTTTGTACATGATTGTAAATAAACTTTCATGGTGAGATATAAAGCTTCGGTTATTTTATATAATCAACGAACACTCAAGTTAAGTGGTGAATCAACCACCACAGCCTGTATTCTTTTTTACTCGTCAGATTAGGAATAATGTCGCGCGGGCCGGATAGAACATTTCAGGGGGCCGCATCTGGCCCGCGGGTCGTAGTTTGCCCATCACTGTCCTTGAATATTAACCTAATCCACTTCATCATTATTTGCTATCAACTGTATCTTATCATTAACTTGCTTTTTCTACAAATTTTTTGATATCACTTAATTTAGTCATTTAGATTTTAAAATGTTTGAATTATATGACAATGAATTGAATGCTTTCTTATAGTCTATCCAAATAATTTACAAGTTGGTGGTTTTTTTGTTTGCAATTTTTTAATGCTATTATATCTATTAAGAACTGATCTTCTACTCTTTTAACACAAAATTTACCTAAATCAGCCTTATCTGTTTAAAACAAAATTGGCTGATGGAAAAGTTGTGTGACTAGTTTTGCTATACAAAGGTTCCATTGTAGACTAAGGGATAGAAACAGTTTAGTCTGTAAAAAACAGATAGAAAAAATTTTCAGAGCTTATAGTTAAAGCCACTTACTTTTCAATGATTGTTTTTCTGTTGATAATGATCATTCTCTGTTCTAGGTGGATTTGAATTGCATCAGATATTATTCTTGTAAAAACTTGAAAATAGTTGATATAGGTAGATCATGGGATAATAGTTGCTTAGTTACTGCATATAAAATTTAAACTTCAGTTAATAGACAGGTTACTAAAATTTTATAATTATTTTATATTTGATAAAACAATCTTCATAAATTCAAATAACATTTTATATTTCCTTGTTAAAATAAATTTTTTAAATATTTATTTAATTTAAAAAATTTTTCTTCTTTTTTTTTTATAGCAAACATTCAGGCAAACTGTACTTATACCTGGAATGGGAACATTGCATATTAATGAAATGGATGATGTTGAACAGATGAGTTCTGTTAGTGAACCATCTAGTGGTACATTACCTGGTAACAGTAATCCAAGTGATGACCAAAGTGCTGCAATTTATTCATCATATTTTGACCCTAATCATACTTATGATCCAAATCTTATTATTACACCACACAAAGAAAAGGTAAATTTAAAAACTTTTTACATCTATAAAAATAACTATAAAGATAAGTTGCAAATAATAATGATTTTTTTTTTAAAAAGATAGAAAAGTTAATAAATATTATAAAAGCTAATTAATATTTTATGAGGCCTGTCCAGAAAGTAAGTACTGTTTGGCTATTTAAAAAAGTAGGAAATTGAAATAAAAATAATTTAATTACCATTAAATTATACATAGCTTAACCTACTTTTTAACATAATTGCCATATAAATTGAGGCATTATCATCTCTTGTCACTAAATTGAAGACACTCTGTTCATAGAATTCAATCATCTGTGACTTGAACCATTTCTGGACATTGCAATGATTGCTATTCGCTTTCTGGTATCATATGGCAAATCCATGTTTCATTCCAGTGACAGTTCTTTTCAAAAATCCATTTCTTTTCCCTTCATACTGCTGCAAAAGTTCTAAGGCTGATCCCATGTGTTTTGTTTTGTTTGTGTGCATTATCATTTTTTGGCACCCATCTTGAAAACAGCTTTTTGAAGTGCAAGTGTTTAGTCACAATTTCATACAGCAAAGATCTTGAAATGTAAGGAAATTGTAAAAAAATCAGAAATTGTGAACTGTCAAATGAATCGGAATGAATCATCTTTTCAACATTGTGCAGCAAGTCTTCATTGACTTGGGATGGGCGGTCACTATGCTCCTTGTTATGAACATTGTCCCTTCTTTGTTAGACATTCTAATCCACTTCAAGAAGTAACTATGCATGCATGACCAAAATGCAAGGGAGATACATGCATAAGGTATTTACTTTCTGGACTTACTTACATGCCTTGTTTGTTCTACTGTACTTAGTGACAAAAGGATCTTAACTAGAATTGTTTATTTATTGCAAAACTTAGCTTATATCTATGTCTCAAACAAGTATGTAAATCATTACAGTTTTGGCTGATTGCATGTCAGATAATGGCACTAGAGTATCTTAAAATTGTTACCCCAGTATCCTATAAAAATGCTCACAGAAACCAGTCTTCAAAATTTTCAGTGCTTGTTGTTTGGTAATCTTTGAATGCAAGTCATGCCTGTACAATGCAAAAAGACATTATGCATAACATACAGAGTTTGACAAAGGATGCGTCTACAGGCTGAGGATGTCTGTTTTCCTGAATTTCCTGCTATCTGGATTGTTTGACATGTCTGTAAGCAGGAATTGAGGCAGAGCTAGATGCCTTGTCTCAGTGACAATGATGGGCAGGCTCTGAATACCCAGAAAGACCACCAGAAGAGATGATCATCTGATCATGAGACAAGCATCAACAATTGCAAGAGTATCTCTGTCCACCATCAAGAAATGGGTTGAATCCTCATTGTAGTCTCTTTCTATAACATTAGTAGATGACTAGCAGAGGCAAATTTGCATCCACAGTGACCATTACATGTCCTGCCATTAACATCTCAACATCATTGACTTTGTTTGTAGTGGTGTCATGACAGAGAAGCATAGACTGCTATGAATTGGCAGTATATTGTCTACCAACAAATCCTGCTTTTGTTGGAAATGGACATCCATTGTTTAGTGTGGAGGAACACTGGGAAGAATTTTAATTCTCTCTTATTGTTGAGTGGCACATTGCTCTTACTGCTGGGATGTTGCTCTGGGGAGCCATTTCATAAGACAGTCACTACTAGTACTCTCTCTCTATCTTATTTATTGGCACATAGTGCTGCCTGGCTCTGCATAGCATTACCAGGAACATTGACAGAACGGTGGTATGTTTAATAAATCCTTCAATCTCATGTATTGCCTTTTATGGCAGGGCTTCAAACTGCATTTTCCAGCACGATACTTCTTGGCCACACATAGCTAAGGTTTCCCAGGAATATTTTACATTACCATATTTCTTGCTCTGCACAGACCCCAGATTTGTCATCTATCGAGCATTTATGGGACCAGATGGGATACAACTTGAGAGATTTGGAGTGGTAGTTTGCAACTGTGAGAATTTGAATGCCTCTCTTTTTTAATTTAATCAAATAAATAATTTAAGATTATTTAGAAAACATTTTACAAGTTTTTAAATGAAAATTTTGTTAAAAATTACAAACGAAACTGTTGTAGCTTACTTCATCACAAAGGGAAGTTGAACTTCCTTTAGACAGCTGACTTGCGAGATGATTCAGATGTGGCCTTTGCACATGTTACTTGGCCTTCTGAAGAAGCCACTATAAAAAGGAGTTTTTCCTGCCATTTGAGGCAGTTCAATGAGGTACGAACATGCCATAGGGAGCAGTTCAACAAATTACAAACATGCCATAGGAGGTAGTCGATCAAAAAAGGAAGATTACCATACTTATAGAAGTCGTCCATATTGTAATAGTGCATTCACAAATGCCACAATTCCAAACTTCTCCCATATCCCGAATGGAAAGATAATTGAAGAAAAGAACAAGCTTCATACTGTGAAGGTAGTACAATAAGTTAGATTTATGTAAACTCTCTCTCATGTGTATAGGTTGATTTAGATTAACTTAGATAGTTGATTTTTCTCTCTGCGAGATAGGTTCAGAATATATCATTTGTAATTCCATTAATTGTATTATTATTTGTTTGATTTAATTAAATGTTGTTATTATATGTTTAAATATGGTCTCATTTATGACTATAATCCACGCCTAAGTCCCCTCCACTTACCCGTGTCCCTCCCATTCAATATTCCTCTAAAATTAGACATATAAGCATGCCTAATGCTATATCTAGGCTTGTGTCAGGAAAAACAACTTCCAGGGGATTTTTGCAGACCCTTGTTTCTCATTCAAATCTTGGGAAGCCATCCCTCGATGACAGTGGACTAGTCTCATGACTAGATGCTGAATAAGTGGTAAAGAGTATAATCCCGACTCTACTCCCAGTTAGCTCCTCACACAACATCTGTGAGCAAATTTGTTGTAGGATAGCATATGGTGCCTGTATTCTTCCATGTGCAATTGTATTTTTGCATGTATTCAGGTAAGAGGTATCCTACATGGTACTAAGGTATGTTTGAATTGTATTTTTTTATGACAGGAAATTGCTTTCTCTATATTGTAATCACTTATTACCTTTGCCATTACATTTGCACTAATCAAGTTCCATTCAGTTTCATTGCTTTCTCCTTGGTGCGTAATTTTTTCTCAATGTGTGTGTTTTCATTATCTTTTTGCTATTTTGTATGATTTCGTGACTACAGTAATAACTTTATATCTACACAATACAAAGCAAAGTTTGAATTGTATTTTAAATATAAATTTAAATTTTGATATAAAACTGAATTTGGTTATATTTAGTACTAGCTTACCCGTCGCGCATTGCTGCAATCTCAGAAGAAAGGAAATTCAAGCAAACTTGTTATGATAAAATTCAATTTACATTTTATCATTTTTATTGAAACTTATTATTATTATTCATTTTCATCAGGAAAACATTTCAAAGTGTCGTTTCAATTCTATTTATTTATAGGAGTGCTTGTGGATACACAATACTTTTTGTTTTTCCGTCTGGTGCGTACACGAATAAATCAGAAGATTTTCCGATGCGTGAGCCGGCCACATTCAGTTGTCCATGCGAGAAGCACGGATTCTCCAAATTTAGCCCACACACTGGCAGCGATTGTCAGAAGTGCAATATTCCCCATTTATATATATATATATTTTTTAATCCTTTATAATTTTAATTATTTAATTGCTCCTTCCTCTCTTCCTTGGAATGTTGTGAAATCTCTGATAGTTGGATAATAAACCGTTTTATTGTAATTTGTCTTTTTAAATTATTTTGAGTCGATATTAAAATTTGGAAAAGGGGGATACCTAGATCGGTAAAATACGCGAATTTCTTCCTACAACTTCGGTTGTTGTTCGGTGTACAGTTAAGGTTTTAACGAAGTTTGAGCGAATACATAATTAGCAAAAAAAGTTGAAATAAAGTGATTAAACAAAAATTATTACAAATATCGTAAATAACAGTTCACAAATGCATATATAGAGATATTTTTTGAAGGGGGAAATGGTCTTCACAATTTGAAATCGATCGAACACACAGTGCTCGAATGCTTGTATAAACGCGCGCCATCTATTGTAGGATAAATGTACTATGCCAGAAACCTTCGCGGGAGTATATTAAACAACTTCCCAAAGTTTCATGGCAATCGGATAAACGGTGTGGTAATGCATGAAGGACATAAGACAGACACACAGACAGACATACATTCATTTTTATATATATAGATAATTCTTTAGTTTTGCTTTGATGTGTATTGTGTATAAATTTTATAAAAGATATAAATTTTACTTTTAATGCAGAGGGCCATAAGGTCCAAAAAGAAAAGTGAAAATAATTTTGGCAGTAAATGTGTTAAGAATTCCAATGGATTAATTCAACTGGAATTTTAAACCAAATTACCTTAACAAATGCATGTATCTATAAGCCTTTTTACTGGTGCGCGTTTCATCACACTACACAATAAAGTTACAAATGTTTTTGAACTGTTACATTATTGTGTAGTGTGATGAAACGCGTACTGGTAAAAGGCTTATAGATATGTGCATTTGTTACAGTACTGTAAGGTCTCTTTTTATGCGGATTATTTTTATGCAATTTTGAAGTTGTGCAGTTTGTATTTCGTCTAAAAATTTTTTTGGACAAACATACATATAGGCTTGTTTAGGAAGCCCGCGTACGGACAGTCTCCAAAAATCGTGGAACGCTCAAAGCTTACTCTATTTGTTCCGCTGACATATAACGTTTATGGATGTAAAGGACAGCTAGATCTACCTTAATCGCTTTAGTTCCTAGCAATTTTTGATATAAATGTAATTAAACATAAAAAATACTTAAAACTGAAAAAAACGAAAGAAATGCGTTAATTTTGAAGAAAAAGCGTCAAAGTTTAACTTCCTTTGTCTCTCCCTTCTGTGAAATTTAACACTGATGAGTCATTGTTTACACATCTGGATGACCTTGAACATAGCTGGAGTTGG